GAATTAAAGCACTGTGATTTCCATAGACCCTTTTTGCAGAAACTCATCTTCAGCCAAAGGGGAGAAAACTGAATAAACAATGACAAAAAAAACTAGTAGTCAGCCTTGAATTTATTTCCTGAAAGGGAAGAGATGCAAACAAATGTGTGGATTATTTTTATTGAACAGAATTTAAATATCTTCTATGAGGACAATGTAAAAATAATATAACTAATAAAAGAAGTGAGAGAAAGGAGGAAAGAATTAGAGGAGGGAGGGCATATGAATTGATTTTCTCAAATTTGATAGCTAGAGAGTAAAAGATATGTTTTACAATTGTTACATTATGTAGCCAAGCTATAAATATACCTCGAGCAACAAAGTAAATATTGGAACAACGAAGACAAATAATACAAAATTGAATAGTAGAAAGGACAGAGAAAAAAGGGAAGGGGTCAAAGTATACAGATTTTATCATTATACTAAGAAGGCAATACATACTGCCTAAGGAACAGTGGAGAGATTATATTATAGAGTCATGGTGGTAAAGGTAATAACTAAAATAACTAAATATAAATAACTTACACCTTTCAGTTTATAAGAAAAGATGCTCACAGGACCACATAACTGAAAATCAAACACACTCAGAGAAATATGCTATTTAAAGACAAAATGCATAATATGCATTACGTTTGAAAGGGATTTCTGCTTCTAGCCATATGGAGTAACTGACTATGGACATACTTTCTTCTGCTGTAATCAACTATAAAACTGCTGAAAAAAAAATATGTGAGGAAACTGTCTTCATACAAGTGTAACAGGCTGTTCATGACTATAATATCTGAGTGAAGGAAAACATACATGGTGAGCACCAACATTTCCCATGGCTTGCAGACTAGGGGTATCTTTCCTACCTTGAGGCAGGTGTGGAACCAAGACACAGCAGCAGATCAGAGTCTGGCCTCCTGGAGTGGTTGGAATTTGCAAAGCACGGTCTGGGAAAGAAGAAAGCAGCACAGAGTGGGGCTCAAACTATATGAATGGCAGTTCCTCATATAAGAACTGGGATAGGAATGTAGAGGTAGAGATACCACTAGGTCAAGAAAAAAGTGGCTGCTTTGGGACTGAGAGCTGTATTGAGATACTAAGGGCGACCATGCTGTAAGACACTGGAATTCTGGTCCAGTCCGAGAGGAAGGACATCTCTGAGCACCTCAGATATTTGCTTGAGATCTCAAAGAGGACACATTTGGAAAAAAATTGGTGAAACATGAACAGCAACTTCAAAGCAAAAGGGATACAAATCGTTGCCAAACATAAGAAATAGTCCCCAAATTCCCTGAAAATGAGATTTGAAAATTAAAAGTGATATTATATGATGGTTTTCAGTTATCATCCCCATAATATTGTATACATAAATGATTTTATGAGACCACATAAGTGAAAATCATAGTTTTCTCTTTTTATAATGTTAAGTTGGATTTTTTTAAACCCAACTTCAATGTTTCTGATACTTGTTGTGGTGGTCAGTTTTATGTGTCAACTTGGCTAGGCTACAATCAGTCCCCAGTTATTGAATAGGTATTTTGAGAATGTGATTAAAATCTGTCATCAGTTAACTTTATTTTTTTTTCTTTCAAACAAGACATATCTGAATGTAATAGATTAACTATAAATAAAGGGAATTTCCCAACCAAAACGGGAAAACCGAATCAAACAAGTGAAAAGCCGCCAAAACAAAACCGAAGCCTTTTTTTCCTGGGGAAAAACAAATTCTGCCTTAGATAGCTGTTCTGTGCTGTGCTGCAGTGGTCCAGCCTGACCTTCCTGATGGCCTCCCCAAGGAATTTGCATAACCCAATTCCTTGTAATAAGTCTCTTGATATATATTTCCTACTGGTCCTCTTTCCCTGGTTGAAGCCTGACTGATGCACATGTTGCAATTGGAATAGATGATTTTGCTCATGGTGACCACATTCCTTTACATAGTGCAGAGTTATGCTCCTGAGCCCTGTCTCAGGTAGGTCTCTGGTTTGTGAGTTTAAGTGTGGAATAGAGTTAAATATAATGACTTGTCATGTGAGTAAGAGGATATTTTAGGTAGCTCTGCAAGTCCATAGAAAAACCGAAGTAAATGTGGTTCAAAATGGGCTGGATTATTTTACCCCTCTATCCATTTTATTGTGGCTGCACTCACCCCAACCCTAGTTTTCTTGTAATTAAAAGAAAATATTAAAATGAGAATTCCTGCTCATGTCTTCTGTTGTATATGTGCAAAAGTTTTTTTTATGGCAGTGGTTCTTCACCCTGGCTGTATATCGGGTGACCTAGAGAGCATTTAAAAAATTTTGATACCTGGGTTTCACTCCCAGAGATTCCAAATTTGTTGGCTCACTGTTTGCCAGAGACAATAAGATTTTAAAACCTTCCGAGGTGGGTCTAGAAGCTGGGAAGCATCCCATAACTAGGAGAGAAATTGATTGTGACATGTGAATATGTTTATTTTTAGTAGGTAAAGGCAAATTGTTTTCCAAAATTATCTCTTATTCCCCCAGTAGGGTGAAAGACTTCCCTTTGTTCCCCTAATCATCTTTGTATTTCTTTTATTTCTTAATTGTGGCCAGTAAGGTACTTATTAAAATCATGCACTATGATTTTATCTTACATGTTATATATTTATAAGGTTTATAAACTTTTCAAGTTACTTCTTCTGTTAAATACCAGTTTACATATTTCCCTACTTTTCTGTTGAGTTGTTTATCTTTTTAAATTAATTCATAGGGACTTTTAGATATTCTGAATATGAATTCATTGTCAGTCTTATGCATATGTCTTCTCCAAGTTAGTAGTATTTTTATAATAAAGAGGAAGACTCCATTTTTGATGTTTAACCCCAGGCAGCTTTCAAGTCTTCCTCTTCCCCTTCCCCTTTCCTCCCACATCTGGGCAAATTGATAATAAAACCCATGTGTGTTTGCTCTTGGCACCTGCAAGAAGTTGAAACCATTCCTGGGAACTCCCATTCTGGCCTCACTTTAGCCACAGTAAAACCAAAACCAAGCTTTGTTCTTGCCAGCTAATTAGACCAGTTTGCACCTGCCTACCTCTCCCCAGGAAGTACAGTTGTGTAATGACAAATCTCTTTATATCCTTTTGGTGTATGCAGAAGCATCAGTCCCAATATACTGTTGCATAGCTCTGAATTTTTTTGAATATTTAAAAATATTTCTGAATATTGAACATTACTAATAATTATTATAAAATTATGTTTTCGTTACAATATCAACTGAGTTTCTTCAAGGGTTAATTCTTCTGTTTTTTCATTTGGATATCCATATTACAACCACTTGTTTCTTATATGTTGTATATTCTTGATTGTTTATATTTATTAATGAGAACCAAGACTGGATAGTATTGACAGCTGGAGTAGATATTATCTGCATAATTGAAATTTCCTCCTACAGCAATGAATTCAGATTATAATCTTAGAAATCTTTGTTCTGATGATTGGGAAGGAGAGTAGGTTGCATAGGATTTTTTAATTGTCAGTTTTCCCTAGAATATTGAGGCCGCTTGTGTTCTGGATGTGGAGCTATACATATACCACTGTCTCCAGAATTTATCTGGACCTCTGCTTGATTTTATCACCAATCCCAACAACTTGTTTGGCAGATTTCTGTGTCAAATTGCCATTTTGCTGCCCAAGGACAGATGCTATTAACAACAATGCCAAGATCTGAAACAACTGGCGTGCAGTTCTTTCATTGGTTCTGTAATGACAAAATCCAAATTCTACTTGTACTTTTGTGTCCTGATCACTCTGTTCCTAGAGGGATTCTAAGATTTTTATTTAACACCTCACTTTTTAGGAAGTCCTTTTGATCACTAAGTGGTTTTCAGTTCCTAATTTTTCATGAATGTCTTTTAATTTTCTTATATATACCTTATATATCCAGAAATTCTTTAGTGTTACAGCGCTGTTACTGCTAATGACTATTAACCTAGCTCTCTATTGGGACTATGGATATGTTTGTATTTTTATATTCCTATATAATTCCAATAAGTTTTTAAAGTGAAAGGATAATTGCCTATCAGCACCTAATATGATTCCTAAGCTCAATTTTCCTTAGCTAGGCCCAAGTTTTTTCAAGACATATTTCTACTTGTTAGATTTTATGCAACTATGCTTTGGACATTTTTTCTATGACTGACATAATTTTCATAATCTATAATGACACTATCTTAGTCATAGTAGACCATTTGTGTTCAAGTGTTGAATAACTTTTCTCCCAGTCAAGATGCTTATCATTAGAATAAATTTGATCATAGTCTTGCAATATCTAAAAATACAACACTCCCTTTTTGAGAATGAATTTGACTTTCAAATTGAAACAGTGTAGCAAAACAACAAAATCATAGCACTGGCCATAGTGAATTACATAATTATTCCTTTTCTTCTTTAAAGAAAACAAAACTCTTATCAAACACAAAATTCTATTTACTTAACCTTTACACAATAGACTTCTCTATTTTAATGCAACACATTATCCTCCATTTTCACACATCAAAGATCCAGGATATTGGGAGATTATTATTAGGAAAGGAAGCAGGAATGAAGAGTTGTCCAGATCAATCCCACACGAGCCTTCTGAATTAGGAGTACTTGAGATCAAACAGGATACAAATTAAGAAAAAGGGTAGTCAAAATCAAGAAGCAAAAGGACCGCAGAATAGAAATCACTATCACAAATGACATCAGGAAACTCAATATAGATATGAGCAGATAGCATGTGGAAGTAGCAACAATACTTCTGGTAGACAGTAGAAAGATACCCTTTTTTATTAGGCATCAAAGGCATAGTGTGTCACTTTCATCAAAATAACAGGACAGCAAGTCAAAAAAGAAAGTAATTTTGGATACCATAGGCTAATTGCATAAAATTGCTTAGGTTCCTAAGACTTTATTGTAGTGTTTTATTTTAGGGGATAAGGGAGAAGATGGCAATAGTGGTTGTGAATCTCCACAGACAATGGGAGGCAGAAATTGATAGGACTCTGTGACTGTTAGTATGGTGCACGTTTTTTTCTGACCCATCTTTATTGTCTCTAATTTCTCTCACAGGTTTGGTGCTCTGGAAAATACAGTTATAAATGTAAACTGTCTTTCTCATGGTAAGCATGCTCCTAAAGTGATATAATAATTATGACCTCATTTGGGAAGTATCACAATCACCCTCATACTTACCTTTTGGCCCTGGTCACTCTCATTTTGGGGAGGATCCTGGGAGATCTTCAAAGGATTGTCCATTGCCTTTGTAAGTACTCATCAAGATAACAGTTTTCAAGTTTTTAGATAGCACTTCAGAATAATACATTTCTTCCTGAATCTAAACACCGCCATATCAGTGAAAGTATCCAGTGTAGTAGTTCCATTAAGAGAGACAGCTAAAAATAAATTTGGTCAAAATAATTTCATGTTACTACTCATTAAGGAGATAAAGTAGTTATTGTATGAAACATTACACCAGAAATCAGGAAACTTGCACTCCAGAACATGTTTTACTTATTGCCCTCAAAACATGATGCTCACTTAAATTTCCTTCTTTTTGTCTCTAAAATAATGATACTGATTTTACTAGGGATTATATGGAATAATAATTATTCATTATTTACAAAATAGAAGGTACAGAATAAAGGGAACACAGCAATTATAAAATAAGTAGCCATGGTTACAATGGTGTTCATAGAGGCTAAAGTAGAAAAAAAATCATTTAAAAATGTGACATTTAAAAAATGTGTTTTAGTGAAAGGTACAACTCAAGTAACTAAATGAAAGGAAAATACATTATACTAAATCTCCAAATTATTTTTAATACATTCGGCTTTAGTTACCTTTTGTATCCAATTATTTTTTACTTTTTAAAGCATTTTCCACTCCCAAAGGCCTCTAATTTGTTGCATTCATTAAAATCTATGATTCTTGTTCAATAGAAGAGTGATATATTTGAGTTTGTAAATTAACATATTTATTTTGTTGGAAAGTACATTTGATTTTTGCAAATTCTGTAGGTTAAAGTGACAATGGTGTTACCACAGGAATAATTTCTACTTTCTAAGAACAGTAGTTCCTGTGCTTGGTAATCCTTCACATATAAGTGATTTGAGTATAGAAGAAAATTAAATAAGATGAGGTGAGAAGAAATTAACCACTCTTTGTACAAATTCAGCAATATTTTGAAGATTTTATGTCATATGCATGGCTGACAAACCTTATTTTCATTCATTTCATACATAATTTTATAGAAAATTTAAAGAAAATAGATAATATTAAGGAAATAATTATACTGTTTAACAAGAAATAATCTTTATTATTATTTTGCAAATATCCTTTGTTTTTTCACTTTGTCTCTCTCTCTTTTTCTCTCTTTCTCAGTGTACATTTACATTTATCATTTAAATCATACTAAATTAAGATGACATATTTGTTTATAAATGTGATTTAATAATGTCATATTCATTTATTATGTGACTATACTAAAATTTACTTAAGGGTTCTCTTATTGTTAGACTTCTAGAATATTTCATATATAATCATGAACTTTTACATGCATCATTACATGTTACTTTATGATGAAAGCCTAAAGATCTCACTTTTGTGACATGCAGTATTCAACATTTTTAGGGCTCTTGATACAGAATGTCAAATTTTTCTTTGGTTAGAAAAAAAGAGAAAACCCAATTTTTTTGAATATTAGTGAAAATTGATATTTCTTTATATATTCAACATTTACTTTTTTCATATGTTAGCTAATATCAAATATTTTCATTAAAGTAAAAACACTTCTAATTGATTGTCAATTTATGGGTGCTTGATTTACCTACTGTGATATTTGCCTATTTTTTTACTGTACTATCTTAAAAAGTCAATGGAGGATAGCAGTTCAACTGTTAATCCTGCCATTGTATACATTTATTTTGAATTCAGATTATTGTTTATACTTAAATTTCTAGATTATCTTAATGGATAGAAATCAGAAACTTTGGTACTAAATTTTATATACTTCCTTGAAGATTTTTTGCCTACTTCAGGCTTAGAAAGGCCTACCTCAGCAAGATTGTGTGTGCATATTCCCTTGTTTAATTTGTACATTTATGTTTTAATTTTTACAATTTAATTTTTACTCCATCTGTACTTAAATTTTTATAACAATGCTTTTTCTATATGGCTAGTCAATTGTCTCCAGCTTTATATGGATCCTTTCTATTGAGTGATATATTCACTTTTACCAAATATAGTAACTACTATTTCATAAAGGTATTTTAAAACCTAGAACATCTTTTTTTTTCTTTTAATTTTATTGTGCTTAGAAACATCTGTTTATTTAATCTTTAAAACAAACCTATGAGCCAGGTACCATTATCATTTTTTAATTTATTTTTTTTTATTTCAGCATATAAGTTTAGGTTACGTATATTGTCTTTGCCCCACCCAAGTCAGAGCTTCAAATGTGTCCATTCCCCAGATGGCATGCACTGCACCCATTAGGTGTATATACACCAGTCCCCTCCTTGCCCCTCCCATCTGCCCGACACCTGATTAATGTTATTACTATATGTGCACTTAAGTGTTGACCAGTTAATGCCAATTTGATGGTAAGTACATGTGGTGCTTGTTTTTCCGTTCTTGGGATACTTCTCTTTGAAGAATGGGTTCCAGCTCTGTTGAAGATAATATAAGAAGTGCTATATCACCATTGTTTTCGTGGCTGAGTAGAACTCCATGGTGTACATATACCACATTTTATTAATGGACTCATGTATTGATGGGCACTTGGGTTGTTTCCACATCTTTGCCATTGTGAATTGTGCTGCTATAAACATTCTAGTGCAGATGTCTTTTTTAAAGAATGTCTTTTGTTCTTTTGGGTAGATTCCCAGTAATGGGATTGCTGGATCAAATGATAGAATCACTTGTATCGCTTTGAGGTATCTCCATATTGCTTTCCACAGAGTTGAACTAGTTTGCAGTCCCACCAGCAGTGTAGGAGTGTTCCTATCTCTCTGCATCCACGCCAACATTTACTGTTTTTAGACTTTTTGATTAATTGGCAGACGAAAAAAACCACCAGCCAGAGTGAATCTGCAAGAAAGACAGATTTTAGAAGAAAGTGAAAATAAAAAAAAAAAACAGGCAGACAAACATAGATCAGAGGAAGGTCAGAAGGAAGGGTGCCTGAAACTGTAGGAGACTGTGGGAAGAAGTTGCAGAGAACTGGAAGGAGAAAGGCCCCCAAGAGGCTTGGAGACCAGTGACAATGGTAGGTGGAGTGGTTAAATTTCTCCTCCCTTGCATCTTCGGACTGCTGGTCGGCTCCTGAGTGGTTGGAGAGACCTGCCAACACCAGCCCAGAGACGGCTGCCTGCAGTGAGCCGTGAGCCTCTTGCAGACAGGGCACCAAGCTTCCAGCTCCCTCAGGACACCTCACGGCTCACAGACCCTAGCTGATTGGCAGGCACCATATTGCTTCATTCTCCCCTTCCCCTTTCCTACTCATGGCTGCTGAGAGAGATGATTTACCCACTACCCGGAGGCATCTGCAGGGAATGGGACCTTTCCTTTCAGGGCCCTACAGCAGACTGAGGGGTACTCAGACTCTGAGCTCCCTACCTGCTAACCCTCCCAGGTGCTGCTTGCCTGGTGACTCCAGGAGAGCAGGGCAAATCTGGAGGCAGAGAGGCAAAGAACATCTTTTGACTCCTACAGCATTTTAGTGATTTGTGTGTCTACAGTGCTAAGCCCCATCGAGTAAAGCTCTAGAAAATTACTGCCTTTGGTGGCCATGCTTATCCTTTCAATGACAACTAAGCTGGACACCACTGTTCCTGCTACAAGAATGCACAACTGCACTGTAATGCTCTTGTTGTGATCTCCCCTTCTTCCACATTCCCTGGTGGTCTTAGTACCAGTAGCCTTGTGTCTATTTTCTAACTTCTCATTCAAGCCAAATGATAACATATATTTTTCAGAGGGTCTGGTATCTCCCCATCTACCAACTATTTGAACCCACAGCACAGATTTGAACATATAACCAGTATGTCGTTCTAAGTACACCACTCATTCTAGCATGGGCTTCCAAAGTTTTTGCAAAGATTTTGCTCATGTAGTTATTCTGTTTTATCTGCTGTCATTTCTCTCTCTACTGGCTCATTCTCATCAAAATAATAGCATAACCATTTTTTTTCTATGTATAAAAATAACAAGTAAAATAATAACCACTTCAACTCATATTCTATTCTAGATATAGTTGCATATCTGTACATTTTCTTAAAAAACAAAAAATGAACAAAAAATTTCTTACAGTATGATCTATATTCACTGTTTATACCTCCTTACTCCAGTCTCTCCTCAGCTAACCCCAATTGGGCTTCTGTCCCATAACCCCCCAAAACTGTCATTGAGCACAGGCTTGGCTACTTGCTGCTTACAAAAGCCAGTAACAAGGATGAGGTATAATGAAAGGAAAGTAACTTTATTCCATAGCTACTAGTGGGGAAATGGACAAAGCTCATGTCTCAAAGATGACATTTCAATGTCTTAGGATGAGGGTAGGGGTTTAAGAAGAGAATTTGGATGAAAGGCATACAGGAGTGGCAAGGAGGTGTTGGTCAGTGTGACCTGACTCCATGACTATCTTGAATTATTGCTCCACCTGGTGAATGGGCTGGTATTATCTTAAAGGCTGTTTATAGATTAACTGCAGCCTTGAGGTAACCTGGTGGAAATCTAGATTGTTTGAGATTTATTCTCTGGGACTTCTAAACATGGATGTAATTAGATAGGGGAAACTTGTGCAAAGGAGTACCTGGAGGAAAGGAGGAGAGTAAAGGTCAGTATTTTCTCAGTAAGTTTATAGCAGCACAATTCACAATTGCAACGATGCAGAAACAACCCACATGCCCAGCAGTACATGAGTGCATTAATAAAATGTGGTGTATATATATACCATGGAGTACTATTCAGCCACAAAAAATCAATGGTGTTCTAGCACCTCTTGTGTTATCCTTGGTAGAGCTGGAGCCCATTCTTCGAAGTGAAGTATCCCAAGAATGGAAAAACAAGCACCACATGTACTCACCATCAAATTGGCATTATTTCATCAGCACATATATGCACATATAATAGTAACATTCATCAGGTATCAGGCAGGTGGGAGGAGGGAATGGATATATTCACACCTAATGGGAGCAGTGCACACCATCTGGGGGATGGACACACTTATAGCTCTGACTTGGGGCAAAGGCAATATATGTAACC